GGATTATTATTATTATTATTATTATTATTCCCTTTCTGCTTTAAAAACCCACCTAAAATTCTACCTCTTTGATTTCCTCCACCTCCGACTATCACCTCTATGCTCTGCCTCTGTAAAGCACTTTTAAACTTACTCCTATGGGAAAGGTACAGTATAAGTGGAACACAGTTGAGGAGTCCTGTAACCCAGTGGTTAGAGTATTCACCTCGCAAGCGAGAGGACCTTGGTTCTATTCCTGGGCAAGGTGAAACCTTAGGCAAGTTTCCTTACTCCACACCTCTGTTTACTCTGTTTAGCAGTAAATAGGAAACCCGGTTAGTTGATTGGCAGATCGCTTTCCGGGGCTAATAATCCCTCCCCCAAAAATGTCGTCACTCAATCCACGACTGTTTGTGGGACACTACTATGCACAATTGGCTGCCACGTTTCACCCACAAATACACAGTGAATCCACTTTACAATATATTTTATGAAGCGCTATTGCATCTCAGGTATACAGTGGAGCTGACGTTTCTCTGCTCCTTTCAAGTTTGGTGAAAATGAAGATTTGCTGAAACAGGGGCAAAATGTGCCCAGATCACTCTGATGGATGAATTGTCCATTCAAATCGCTGAGAAGGTTAACATAAACAAAGTTCTGGTCAATGTGATAAATACTGGAAGTCCATGCATCCTAGCCTGCTGTACTCGAGGTTTGCCACGGGGACAAGTTTGCTGCCTTGAACCTCTGGTATATGTTAATGCCGTTTAATTTACAGAGCTGGAAACTCAATGCCATGGACTCAAGAGCTTTGAGGGTTTCACCACTGAGATGGATGTTAAACCAAGACCCTGTTTACCCGTTCATGGGGATGTTAATGATCCTGTAGCACTATTCGCAAAGAGAAGAGAGTTTCTCCCTGTGTCCAGGTCAACAATACCCCCAAATAAAATTGGTCATTCACTTCAAGGCTGTTTGTGGGACATTGCTATGTGAAAATTGTCTGTTGTGTTTGCCAACCAAATGCATAGTCACTAGACGTAATATTAATCAATGTGAAGCTCTTTGAAATGTTATAACACAATAAACAATATATCAAATTGAAGTATTATTAGTATTAACTCTGGTTTGCTTTTGAAATCTCATGACAATAGAGACGCCTTATCAAATGCAAAGTTTATTATTATTTACATTTTCTCGGCTTTCTCTGCCCTGTTTTTATACTTATGTCATGGTTGGCTGTGTGAAGTGGAAATAAATTCCCATTTCTTACTAAGAGCATTAAGCCATGGCTGACATGGGATGTAATTTTGTTAGCATTGTTTGGTCGAAAATCCTGTTAAAAAACATATTTCACTCTCCAGCCATCTGTGTATGAAAAGAGGAACATTAATCCCCTTTGTAAACACAAGTCAAACAAAAAACTGACCACGGCAGTAAATGCCTCTTCAGTTCAGCACAACTTTATTTATTGAAGTGAGTGACACCGGAAATCCCAGTTAAGACTGAAGCTTCTTACCGAAATGTGGTTAGCAAAGACAAACTGCACTGGGGACAAGGTATGCAGCAGTCATTCATTGATACTGAGTTCTCTGGTTCTCTGTTGTGGTTATAATAACAATCCTTCAGTTTGATATAGCTCCCATAACTATTATGAATCAGCCTGGCTCATTTGGTAGCACTCTCACCTAAGAATCATTAATTTGTCGGTTCAAGCCCCACGCTGAAAATTTCAACTCACGTCGTCAAGGCTGACATTGCAATGTGGTGCTGGGTTGTGCTACTTCAGATAAGAGGTTAACAACAACAAGAAGATGACATTTGTATAGCGCCTTTCACGTCGGGAGGACATCCCAAGCTGCTGGACAGTGTACAGCATATCAGACCCGAGCTGGGGTCAGGGGGGAGAAGGGAGGGGATGGGGGTGGCCGATGGTATGGTTGAAGAGGAGGGTCTTGAGGCGGGACTTAAAGGAGGTTAAGGAGGGGGCGAGGCGGAGTGATTGAGGGATGAAATTCCAGAGATTGGGGGCAGAGTGGCTGAATGGTGGGGCGGGTGGGCTTGGGGACTTGGAGCCGGCCGGAGCTGGCTGAGTGGAGGTTGGAGGGGGTTAGGAGGATGCAGAGGTAGGGTGGCCCGAGGCCATGGAGGGCTTTGTAGGTGAGGACCAGGATCTTGAACTGGATCCTCTGGAGGATAGGGAGCCAATGGGGTCGGGCAAGAATGGGGGTGATGGGGTCACAGAGTTTGGTGCGGGAGAGGACACGGGCTGCAGAGTTCTGGATTATCTGCAGCCTGTGGAGGGAGGAGTTGGGAAGGCCGACAAGCAGGGCGTTTGCATGGTCGAGCCTGGAGGTGATGAAGGCATGAACAAGAGTTTCAGCGGCCTGAGGGCTGAGGTAGTCAGAGTCGGTTAAAGAGGTGCCAACCTTCAGAGGAGAGGTTAAAGTGAGGTGCCATCTACCTGTTCAGCTGGATGTTAAAGATTTAATGCCACTGTTCGAAAAGAAAAGGGAGTTTCTACCAGTGTCCTGGCCAACAGTCCCCCAAATAAAATTGGTCACTGAGCTATGTGAAAACTGGTTGCTGTGTTTGCCAACAAAATGCACTGTTCTTACACTTCACAATATATCCTGTGAAGAGCTTTGAGACGTCCTCCCAATGTGAAAGACGCAATATCTTTTGCGGGGATTATTATTTAAAATAATCTCCTCTAAAATCGATTCTAAGCACTGTTTAACACACTTGTAAAAAGAACTCAGTCAAGGAGAATAAAGTGGCAACAAAATAATAATTTAATACAAGTGGGAAATGTCAGTTAATGAATACACCGCATCACTTAGAAAATAAGTGTCTCAATTGTGCAGCTATTGAGGCACTTATTTTATTGTGAAAGGTAATAATTAAGCAGGAGAATGTTTCTTTCTTGCACCTTTGATGCTCTACACAGTGTGCGGCTGCTTGTTGCCTCACAACAGAGGACATTGTGCTTCAAAATGACTCCTTGTGTAAAAGTCTTTCAGCGTGAAAAGCCGCCACATTTTTAGTGGCGGTCAACTTGTACGTCGGCCACCAAATCAGGAAATATTTAATCAAGAAAAGACTGAAAATTTTGGGTGGCGGGTTTCTGGCCCTGGGGAAACAGGTTGGCCACCACTAACCTATATCAAACGCAAGTGTGGCTATTAATCACAGACTGAGAAGGCAATGAATTGGGTGATCTTTTTGCCAAGCACCATAGAACTCAGTATGGCTCTGTCTGGGTCAATAAGTCTAGGTAAATACTGGGTTTATATGTCATTCTTGGACATTTGGTTACTTAAACAATGATGTTGGGGGAAGCCACAAACTGTTGTTTTCTCTCCTAACATTACAGAGTTAACACTGAAAATAAACATCCCAATCGCTTCTGTTCCAACAATCTCAAGACAGATGTAATCGTGTTTCAGAAGGATATTCACAGCCTTATATAAATATTTTTCTTTCATCAATCTTTTCTGAAAGGATATATTTAGCATTAGAAGTAACACTTTTGTTTTAATGCTTCTGGCTCTAAAACTCCAAATACAGGATCTTTCAGTCACTGTGTTACAGGCAAAAGAAACAAACAATGAGGTGATGTTTTGACATTTTGTAACAGACATAATGTGATAACTATACAAAATGCAGTCAATCCACTTTATAATATATTCTTTGAAGCTCTTTGAGATATCTCAATGACATGATAAGGTGCTTTATCAAATGCAAGGATTATTATTATTACAGATTTCGACTGATCAACGGGTATGAAACCGCAACGATTGGTGTATTATTATTGAAGGTTGTGTCGCTGTTAGGAAACTAGAAACTCCTAAACCTCGACAAGCAGGTCATTCCACAGATTAGACAATGGTTAGTCTTATTCGAGGGAAGATCTTTAGTTAAATAGTAATAATACATTTGGGAGAGCGTCTATTATACCAGGACGATATCTCAAAATAGTTCACAGGATTTTACTGCACAGTTCAGGGATGGTTATTTTATAGGCGAACCCAGCAGCCAATTTGTGCACAGCAACGTCTGCATAAACAGCCATAAAGTGAATACCCAGTTTCATCTGGTTGATTATAGGCCAACACACTGGGAGAAAATCCCTTCTCTTTTTGAGTAGTGCCATGGGATCTTTAAAGTCCATCTGTACAGATAGACAGGACCTCGGGTTAATGGTTCATCTGCAATAATAATCCTTGCATTTGATACAGTGGCTTATCAGATCATTGAGACATCTCAATGCGCTTCACAGAATATACAGTAAAGTGGATTGACTATGTGTTTTGTGGGCGAAATGCGGCAGCCACTTGCACACAGCCATGTCCCACAAACAACCGTGAGCACATTTGGGGGGGGGGGGGGGGTCGCATGTCTGACAATGCAGCACCCACCCCCAACCATTGCATCGTCAACGTAGACCATAACTTTCTGACTCAGTGGACAGAGCGCTACCAACTGAGGCAGGCTAACATGTCAATGCCATCTCCGTTATTTCATACATTTTCAATAAAGTGCAGCAGGTTTGACAGCTGACAGGGACAGGTGGCGCAATAAGGTCATAGCATCAGGCGGGACAAAATCACAGCCAGACCCTTCCTGCTCAGACAATGCTGCTCCTTTAAGGATTAAATTTTTTTTATCGACAGACACTCGTTTTCTTTACAGGAGAGAAAAAAAATCAGTGAAGTTTATAGTTTTATGTTTCCCTTTTGTTTTTGCCTTTCCCCCTTTGAACCCATTTCCAAATTTTGCAACTTTTAAAAGCATTTTAAAACAAATATATATTTGGGGGTCAATTCATTTGTTTGTAAGTTTTCAGGTTGTTCTGAGCCTTCTCTCGGGATCAGTTCTTTGTTTTTTCAATTGTCTGAAGAGCTTTGTTTTAATCCTCCTACGGTTCTCAATGGGTCACGTGGTTTGTCTGCAATTCACTGACTTTTACCAAAAGTAGCACAGTCTTTAGTGAAAGCAGAGCCCTGACGTCAACAGGCTGTAAATCATGTCCTGAGTTCCTTTCAGCTGGGCAGATGCAAGCCTAATAGATACACTGTGTGTCACATCACCAAAGCATCTGAAATACAGAGGGAACCAGCTGCTCCAGCCGAAGTTCGCTGTAAGTAGATTGTTTTCAGTACCTCGCTTCGTTACGAAATAATGGGCTTGCTGTTCAGCAACAACACTTTTTTTTTAAAAAGCACACATTTTTTCGTGTAATTTAAAGCGGATCAGAAACCGTACTGAACCTAGGTCCCTGTTCTTTGAGCACAAATGAGAAGGAGGAAAAAAAATTTCAACGCTCACTTGTTTTTCTCTCTTCACAAGCTTCCAGTGAGTGCATTGTCCCCGGAAAGGATAAATCTGTAGGCGCTGTGACTTTCAGTCTCCTATCCCTTGAGGTATACGGCTTTGCCAGAAACTAGAATTGTAATCACAGGGCAAATTAAACCATTCGCCCTTTGGTCTGTGCCTTTGGGGAGATTTGTATAAATTCATTTTTTGAAATAATCTCATATTTAGGTGAACTCTTTTAACTAATCATTTGGTCCTGGGTCCAAATTCCACACAGTTCCAATCGTAGACTTTTGCAGCACCGAAGGAAGCCATTCACGCCTTGGTTTCCCCGTGGTTCTCTGTTAGAGCCATCGTTGAGTGCCACAATCCCTTGCCTTTCCTTCACACTCCTTTATGGATTTCCTATTTCAGATGACTGTACTAATTCTCTTTTAAAAAGCTATAATGGATTCTGCTCCAATACTACATTGCCTCGGCATTCTATATCCTAATAAAAATGATAATCGTTGTATTTGATATAGCCTTATCACGTCTCCGAGACGTTTGAAAGCACTTCACAGAACATTCTGTAAAGTGAATTGCGTATTTTTGTGGGTGAAATAGTCCACTGTGTAAAGAAGATTCTCGTAACCACACTTTTACACTTTTCTTTTTGCTAATGATCTCAAGTTTACAGCTTCTAGTTACCAACCTAGCAATCAGTAGACATAGTTTCTCCCTCTGGACCTCATCACAACCTCTCTATAACTGGTTGTTCTGCTATTTGTATTCATCATGAATGTTCCATTCTTCGCTTCATTTTGGAGTAATGTTTGTTCAAAAGCACAGAATGATGTGATAAGGTGCTATATCAAATGCAAGAATTATTATCATGGTTAAGCAATTTCACTTAAGTGATACCAGTTATAAGCAGCTTGCTCAATTGGTAGCTAGGCTCAGCTAGTAGCAGAAAGGAATGGGTTCTAAGCTCTACATGGGGATTTGCACAATACAGGCTGAGACTTCAATATAGTGTTTGAGGGAGCTCTGAATTGTTGGAGGCATTGTCCTTCTGCTGAGACATTAGACTCATTAGGAAAAGAGCTGATTGATTGAGTTTTGATCTGAGTGATTTGAGGCAAGGTATCCATCGAAGAAACCACTGAAGGTTTCTTAAGAACTGGGCAAAAACCTACTGACTGTGTCAGCTGAGAACACTTTCTCTTCCACATTTTGTTGTGCCATCCATGACGCCGATTTCTCTGTTAACAAAGCTGTGCCACCATGTGAGATTTTGTTTCCTCATTGTGGTTAAGATTTTTGGAGAGAATTGGGGGAATTTGGGCTGTTTTCCTCCAGAAAAAAGAAGGATAAGCTGAGACCTGATAAGAGATTTTTTAAATTCACTAAGGTTTCAGTTAGAAAATTGGGAAGGGGGGGTATTATTTACATTGATTGTTGAGCCCTACAGGGCCTAAATTGAAGGGCATAAAAATGAACAAAGGGAGGGGTTAGGAGTTTTTTTTACACAGAGAGTCGCTAGGACATAGAACGCCCTACCTAGAACTGCAGTCGAGGAAGAATCAAGTTAGGTTTTCGGAGGAAATTACATTACTATCTGAAAAAGAGAAATATTAAAAGGGAACGTGGCAAATGGGGTAAAGAGATGAGACTAAATGGAGACTCTTTCAGACAGACGCACAAGCACGATGGGCAGAATGCACAGTCAAAGAGGTAGGGTTCAATGAACTTGAAAGCAGAGAAAGAATAGAACAAGGTGGAGGGATTTTGGAAGATAGTTCCAGGTGGAGGCTTGTCTGCTGATGGTGGGGTATGTGGGACGGTGGAGTAGGGAGTGGTTATGAAGCCAGAGTTAGCAGAGCGGAACGAGTGACTTGTTGCAACAAAAGAATTCTCCAAGTAAATCCATTTCTACAGAAATTACTTTTTGATGTAATCCTTTGACAATTCTTACATTGTTTGCCCACAGAACACTCAGTATAGCTTGTGAAGTTCTTTGAGGAGTCCCCCTCCCGTCATGAAAGGAACTATATCACTTGTAAGGATTAGTATATATGTCATTATTATTATTATTAAAAGCACGCCATAGGAAATGTTGGCCCTCCAAAGGTAAAAGTGATGTAAAAGCACTAGAAGGAAGACAACAACAGGCATTTAATATAACTACCTTTCAAGTAGGGGTAACGATAACAAAAGCAAGAAATGGGAAGAATTGAATGAGAAGCAATTCTAAAAATGACAGCATCTAAAATGTGATATTTCTAAACAACTCATCTCATTTGGAACTTCCTTTGATAACTGCAAGTCCATCACACTGACTTGGAGCAAATCCAAGAAAAACAATCCTTGCATTTGACACAGGGCCTTTCATGTTAGGAGGACGTCTCAAAACGCTTCGCAGGATATGCTATAAAGTGTCAGTGAATCCGGCAGTCAATTTGCACACCGAAATGTTCTACAAACAGCCATGAAATGAATAAACAGTTTTATTTGGGGTATTGTTGGCCAGAACACCAGGAGAAATTCAATTTTATTTTCGATGACACATCTGACAATGCAGATGAGAACTGTTAGGAATCATAACGTGATTCTTCATTGAATCATTGATCTTAGTTTGGCTCTGTCAATAGCACTCTCACTGCTCGCCTCTATTCTGTGAAGAGCTTTGAAATGTGCTCCCAAAATGAAAGGCACTAAATCAAATACAACGATTATCAGTATTATTACTTGTGAAGTGCTTGGAGATGTTGCCACACTACAGGCACTACATCAAATGTAAGGATTGTTGAAGAATTACATTAGTAAGATATATCTCATTTTCAAACCTAGCTAGTAGAAATGAAGTCATTTGTTGAATTCAGGACAGTAGCACTTTCAATCCCAAGTTATTATCATTTTCAATAGCAAATTTGACACAATAAAAGTCACTTTCCACTTCCACCTGGTAAGCAGAGCCAATGCTCTTCATATGTTAATAAACCTTTTAATAGCTGATTGAAGGAGAGATTAGATTGCTGGTAGAAGTCATATACACAAGAGGTAATTGACGACTGGCAGTGAGACAGTAAGCAGTAATTAATTCAAGTGGGTCTGATGGAAGTTATTTCAATCTTTTCAACCCTCTGATGTCTCCAGGCACCTCACACCTTTGTCACCACCAAGAGCTGGACTGGACACCCTGGTCCCAGATCTCTGATGATTGTTGACCCACGGCTGCAGCAGCATATTACTGGGTTCTGAAAACAAGGCGGCACAAAGGTCGAAATTCTACCTAGTCTTAAAATTTTTAGACAACAATAGTAATAATCCTTGCATTTGACATAGCTCCTTATCACGTCGTTGAGATGTCTCAAAGGACTTCGCAGAATATATTGTAAAGTGGCTTGACTGTGTATTTTGTGGGCGAAACGTGGCAGCCAATTGCTCACAGCAGTGTCCCATAAACAGTCGTGGATTGAGTGACCAATTTTATTTATTTATTTTTGGAGGGATTATTACCCCCGATTATAGATTGTACTGTCTACAAATTTTAAGATAGCACAGAAGATCTGTGAAAATTAGACGGTTATCTGAGGACCCGTCTGTCTGTTCTGTTGGACGTTAAGGATGCCATTCGAAAAGATAAGGAAGTTTCTCCTGGTACCTTGGCCTACAATCCCCTGGTTAGATTGGTCATTCACTCCATGAGTGTTTGTGGGACATTGCTGTGTGCAAATTTGCACATTTCTGCATGATAGAGTGAACATCAGGGACTGAATGTGGGGGAGGAAGGACAGCTGGGGGTCGAACTGGATGCCTAGGTTGTGCACTGGTTCGGTGAGGCTTAGGGAGAGCCCAGGGAGGTTGAGAAGTTTAGATCCGCAGGAGTGAAGACATTGACGGGAGCCAAGAAGTATGGCTTCTGTCTTGTCCATATTCAGCTGCAGAAAGTTTACACTGCAGGGGCTCAAGGGGGAAGTGGAGGGAGCGGCATGATTGAGCAGCTCTGTTACAGGCTAAAACTAGGTAAAATTTCTGGTCTACAGTCTTGCAATTAGCCAGTTAGAATATGAGATCAGATCAGAAAGCGTTTCAGCAATAACAACAACTTACACTTATATCGTGCCTATCATATAGGAAATACATCTCAACGCGCTTTTTCTTCACACTATGGGGTGAAAGTTGAGACAACCCTTCGCAAGCCAGTTCTCACAGCATTGTGACAGACTCTTCAAGTCAATTTCATTTGGAAACTTTTCAAGAGCTGCACTTTTCCATATTAAGTCTGAATTTAAGAATTTTCCACATTTCTGCATGACGGGGTGAACATTTTGACACATGTAATAGTTATCACATATGGCTGCACATAAGTGCCCCAACTTTAGATTTAATGTAAGAGTTAAATCCCTTTCTAATATTTTATGCAGTGGCTGGGTGTGGGAAGGGGAGCGGGTGGGGGAGTGGGGGAGGAAGGCGTGAAGAGTGTAACAGAGTCCTCAATTGGAGTGGAACAGAATCCTAATGCAGCCGATTTAAGGCTGTGAGGTTTACCTACAAATACAGTTACTACACTTCACAGTAAAGCACTTTGAGAATACTTCAATGAAGCTATAACAAATCTGGAGGATTATTATTATTTCTCATTAGAAACAACCGGAATAATATTTACAGTTCATGCCTCACACTTTACCTTATAAGATGATGGCAAGTGGAGAGCATAGCTTGACCGTCAAAAGCTTAACTGCCTTCAATTCAGTTACTGATTTACGCTTTGTATAAAATCATGCAGTGTAAACTGTAATGAGTGTTCTGAGATGCTATCCTGTGTAAAGAACAGTACAA